GGGGGGGGGGGGCAAAACAAAAGCAAGTGCTGGAGCTTTGCCTCCTTTTAAGGCAAAGGTAGGGAGCTCGGTTTGCCGCTGCTGCTGAAGAAGGAGGACAATGCGGAAAGGGCTCGGGGCTGAGTCAGCTTCCCCTGGACATGTTCAGAGGCCCTGGGCCTTGGAGGGAAGCTGGCGTGTGTGTGTGTGTGTGTGTGTGTGTGTGTGTGTGTGTGTGTGAAAGCAGAGAACACCAGGGGACTGAGGAGCAGGGGGAGTATTTTGCCTGAGATAGGGCCAGGCGGTGCCTGAGCCCTGATTCTTGCCCTCTGCACACCTCTGCAACCAGCAACGCGGCTTTCAAGCGGCTTTCAAGCTCACGGCCCCAGAAATGTCACTTGAGGGCCGGCCCAGTTGGGCAAAGTTCTTCCCTGCACTCCTTGCGAAGGACAGCCTCAATGCTCAGCAGCCAAACCTGTACAGGGTCCATTCCCAGGAGCCCCCTCCTCCCCCCTCACTCCACCCCATCAGGCTGGGTGATCAAATCCAAACCGAGTCCATGATCCCATGCAAAGCTGAGCCGAAAGCCAGTTGCTGACCCCCCCTCCCCCGGCCAGCTCCCAAGGAGCCCTGGGGGCGGAGGGGGGGGGAGGAAGAGATGGATGGGGGTCAGCCCTGGACTTTCCTGGTTGCTTGGCCAATGGAGGCGGGGAGGGGGGAGTTGAAGGGGGTGTGTGGCCCATCTCTCCCGGGGGGGGGTGAGGCCCGTCCCGTCCAGGGCCCCTACTCTGGAACGGATTCCCTCGACCTTCTCAGCCTGAGAGGGCCGGCCACTTACTGAGTGGAGTCTCATCGTCCGACTCGGGGGCAGCCATGTTGGCGGGCGCAGGGGGCCTCGCAGGAGAAGGAAGAGGAGAAGGAGGAGGAAGAAGAAGAGGAGGAGGCGGGAGGTCTGCAAAGAAGAGAAAGAAGGGGAAGGGCGGAAGGAAGAGAAGAGAAAGAAAGGGGGAGGGCGAAACATCCAGATGAAAGTGCGAAAGCCAAAAGCAGAGGACACAAAAGGGCGGATTCGGCCCGGCTGCAAGCCCACCTCGTGGGGAAACCCCGCTCTTTCTTCTCCCCGGCGGCCCTGACTAGCCACCCCCATGGCAGGACCTCTCCTGGAAGGCTTCTCATGAAGGTCCACCACACTCAAGAAAGCCTTCGTCCTCCTTCCCTCCCGTCCCGGGGGAAAAACTCCCCGGCTTTTTCCCAGGAAGCCGAAGCCGCAGGGGCGTCTGCTGGTAGCCCCGGCTTTCAGGTTTGACGTGACCCACTGACGTGTGGGGAGAATGGCTAGACTGAGGTTGGGGAGAGAGAGGCCCGTCCTTCGCTCTCGCTCTCTTCACACGCCCACATCTGCAAGGCCTGGGCTGTGGAAGCCAAGAGGAGTCTGATGAACCGCTTACAAGCCAGCTGTCCCAGGAAAAACAAGAAGGGGGGGGGAAGAGGGGGCCTCTGGCCCCGCTTTCTGGACCGCAGTTGTCCGAAAGAAGTGAGCCGAGAGGGCGGCCAGATCTCTTTAGCTGCTTCCCAGGGGTGAAGGAATTGAACAAACAAACATATACACACCCCACACACATCTGTCGGGCTTGCGGACCAAAGAGCAGCAGCGAAATGAAAAATTGGGGAGGGGGTGGGGGAAGCAGAAAGAGCCGGGTTCAAGAGAGGGCAAGGATGTCCGGAAAAAGAGCCACTTTCTGAGCTCCGCCAGGGAGCGGATTTTTTTCGCGTGGGACTTAAGCCTGAGCCCGCCTAGCAAATCTTCCAGCTGCCGGCTATGAAGGCAGCAAGGGTAGCTGTAGTCCGAGGCTTCCCGGAGGGAGATCCCCTGCGCCGGAGACCTTAATCCTGGAAGCAAACGTGGCCTGTTTGGTATTTTCCAGCAGCGGGAAGGCCTCAAAGAGTGAGGAACACATTTCTTCCTCCCTCGCCAGAAGGCCGTTCCTGGCGAGAAGGAAAGAAGGGAAGCCATCTGCTAGAACGCTCTCAAAAACAGGCAGGAATCGGCCCCGGGGACCCTTCCACAGACAGACCGGGCCTGCAGCCCTTCCCATCCACGCCTCCGGATGATCTGCGCCCGTGGGCTGCCAGAGAGTCTTGCACGTTGGACCGGCTTTGGCCTCGGCTCCCGAGAAGCCCTGGAAAAACCAGCCCTTCCCAGCATCCTCTACGGCTCTGCAAACCACCAACCTGGATCCCAGAGATTTGGAGCGGGGCGCAAGGGGCCTCGTCCCACAATCGGGACGCTTTTGCCAAGGGACGGAGTTCCGGAGGCCCTTGGAGAACCAGATGGGGACCCCCACCTGTCTCGCCAGCCACCCTCTTTCTACGAGATCTCGGCTGGCTCCCCAATCCGACCGCCAGCCCGGCACGCACTCACCTGTAGAGAAAGGAGACTGGCTGGAGCTGTCCGGAGGCTCGATGGACCCGCTGCCCATTTCTCCACTGCCGTACTCATCTGCAACAACCAGAAGGTCAGTGGGCAGCAAAGGGGGCACCTGAAGCGGCTCGATACCCCTCCCCGGCTCATCCTCCTCTTCCGGGCTCACCTCCAGACGGCCCCCCAGCCTTGAGATCCTCATCGTCAAAAGTGCTATCGTAATCCTTCCGGAACCAGTGCGTGATCTCCGACTCGGTGTCCTCTGGGAAGGAGGCCTCGTCCAGTCGGCTGGAGGCCTGAGCTACCTGCAAAAGAGAGGAGGAGGATTGGGGTGGGTGGGGTTATATCTCGCTGCCTCGTCTCACCTCCTTCCTGCCCGCATCCCAATCAAGCATCTCAGGCCTCCTCCTGCCTCCCGATGCCCGAATCCTGCTTGTAAGATCCTGAGCAGAGAGCAAAGCTCCTTCCCACTCCTTCACACACACCCCCGGGCTGGTTTAGCGGGTTGCAACCCCGGGTGCCATGCAGCGAAAACACCTCCCTGCCTAGAGAAACAGCATCGAGTAGGATTACGGCCACTTCACCGCCTTGGCAAGAGCCCAAACTGGCGGACTTCAAGGAGGGCTTGTTCTGAAGGGGTGCAAGAGACCCATTGAGAGCGGAAGGCGAGGGTGCTCAAGGCGCTTCGGGGCGGAAGGGCGGATGCTGTGACTCCCTGGGGCTGGGACCGCGAGAGCTCATGCAAATAAGAAAGTCAAATATTTGGGAATTTGGCTAACAGCAAGTGTGACGACCCGGAGCGTAACGCAAACGTAACAAAATCCAAAACGTAAATAAATATATATTTTAATGCCTCCAACTTGGCCTCACTGTTCAATAATTCTCAGTTGGAGATGAAACTTATTCAAAAAATAGCCTTCAAAAGAAAGCAATACAGTCCGAACTTAACGAGCAGATAGAGGTGAAATAAAAAAAAAAACCAAAACAAACTACGATGAAGGAATTTCCACAACGGACCAGGATAAGTAATGACCAACTTCAAGGAGATAACAAGGCGCGGTCTGTTGGGAAGGATGCCAACCATGGTAACTTCAGACCAAAATAAAACGCGCTTTGCTTCTGGGGGGGTGGTTCCCCTGTGACTCCTTCCACCTTTAGCCTCCACACACCACCCCCTGAATCTTTCTGCCTGCGGGTTTGGGGTAAAGAAGCTGTCAGCCATGATCCAGAGGTTTTTGGGGGTGGCTTAAGAGCTACCTGCGTCCTCCATCTCCTCCTCAAGGGGACTCAGGTGAGGCAAAGCAGCCAGTCCCACCGGCCAGGCAGTGGGCCGCCCAAAGGCTACAGACCGGGGACAGGAATTTGTCAAAGCAGCATTTTCCTATGCAAACACGGCCGGCTACATTACTGCAGGCTGGCCGGGCCGGGGACAAAGGACTGAAGCTGCCGGCATAAAAGGGGATTTAACTGGACGGGGTGGCCTTCCTTTGTGAAAAGAAAGAGGGGAAGTAGGAGCTGGGGGGAACCCGTGGGGCCTGGAAAGGTGGGCAGGGCACCGTGCCAACCTGCCGGCATCAGTCTTGGTCCTCGGGGGGGGG